GGTTCTCTTCGACATTACCAGGCTGACCAACTCGACCCCTTACCTGATGACCTAGTCAGGTCTGGTCAAGCCTGATTTTCCACTTTCGATTTTTGCGACAAAGTCCTCAGGCGCTTTGTGTAATCGACGGAGCAGGTCTCTTCATGCAAAATTATTAAGTATTCCTAGAGTATATATCTGAATAATACTTTGTATGTTTAATTTGTATAGGCTTATAAGTCTCCACAGCCTTCGGGTGAAATTTGTCATGCATCGTCCGGCGATGGCGACGCCACCACTCTCCGTACCCATGAAATACCATTGACCAGTCGAAGCCCATTCTATCATGTATAATCAAATCCCCGAAGTAAAAACGAATTGATTGAATTAAAGTGAACTCACAGATCCACAAGCATAGTGGACGTCGTCCTATCCGAATGATTGGACGACCGTCTCTCGAAGAGCTCATGGACGATTCGACGGGAGTTGAGAAATACGAGGGGCGTGCCGAAGACGTCGAGGTAGAATATCTCTCCTGTTGGTGGTGGTAAAATGGAGTCTCCTTGCTTGAGATATTATTATGCTTACCGTATTGCTTTGCATACTTCGCATATGTTTCCCACTCGAAATATTTAGGCATGTCCAATGCATTTCCGATTATGGGTTTAGGGGAAGGACCCGGTGGAAGACGAAGGCCTAGTTATTTTAACAAATATTTTGATGAGTTTATAGTGGATTGGTATAACTCGTGTAGACCCGGAGATTAACTGTCACTCCGGGCTCTAGTTATATTGGTCGCACCCTGCAATTTATCACCGGTTCTTCTTATACAACGCTGAGAGACGGAGTTTATTTCGTAACTCACTCTGTATATACTTTCAGGCATGGCAGAGCTGTATCCTTCGACGTTGCCCGACGCTGAGTTGACTGTTGAACCTTTATCACGTGTCATGTCTTGTTCGGATTGCTTCCGCCTCAGCACAGGGTTCCCTTTCAAATAATTTGAGAATAATCAGCGGTCACTATAAATATAAGATAATAAAGTACCTTCTACAGTTAACATTGTAAGATATTTAGTAGAAGACCAGAGAACTGTGATTCTCTCAGTGCTCCTGTCCCATTTCCGAAGATAAGTATTCAAACAGAATATTCCTAGTGGTCACTCTCCCTCTTATTTTGACAATTAAAAGACACACACACACATATATATACTACAAGTTGGGTCCTGCGCTCCGCTACGGTTATCATTAAACTCGTGCACTGCGTTGGGGTCAGGTGAAGCTTAGAAAATTCAGATGTTTAATTATTTGATGCTGTCATGGGAGCATATCTGTGATGCAAAAGCAGGATTTCAGGTGTCCAGTGTCGAAAGCTGACCTTGGAGTATTTATACTATTGTGCAAGAGTCATCATCCTTGTAAAGCTGCAGCTCTTCAATGTGTCATAAAACATACGCTGCATATCTCCCCGGA